TTGAGAATGCAGGATGCCTGCACACCCAGACGGGGAAAAGGGCGTCAGAGCTTTCCGCACATGGCAGAAAGAAAGCACAAGCAATGTGGGCCAGTGATAGGCTCCTGCCATGTTTAATAAATGACTTGGCAAAGTCTTCGATGGGCCATGCCATCCAAAAGCTTGCAAGCTTGGCGGTGGTATCATTACGAAATTGTAGAGAGCGGTGGGCCAACCGGCAGTTCACCCTCTGCTGCAGAGACATGTGAATGGAGAACGGCCATGCTTGAGCTCCACTCTAACAGCAAATGAATTCACAGAGTGCACTTAACCTTGTTAAGAAAGCATTTCACAGTAAGAGTTAGAGTAAGAGTTGATCTGGGTTTATGTTCATTCTACCTTGAGTGATAGCAAAAGCGACGTTGAAAAGCAAAACTCCAGAATCAGAGCTCTTAAAGTGACGAGTGTTTAACTTATATGACTAGAAGTCTCAGAGCTCATAATACTGAAACAGGAATTGTGTTTCAGTTCCCACAATCCCACACTGAGAGCTGCGTTTGACATTGTGGATCATGTGAAAAGATCTCCTTCTAGAGCACTTTCAGACTGATTTAGCACTTATTTATACACCAGAGAATATTGTCCTAGTTTTGATGCGTATGTTTCTTATTAGCACAATACTGTCATAATGTATTAACATATAATCATAATGAACTAATACTACCTCCAACTAACAGTATGCCTGATCCATCCATCCATCCATCCATCTCTTTCTTCTGTAAGAGAGTAAGAGTTGATCTGGGTCTGGGGGCAGTCGTGACCTAATGGATAGAGGGTCGGACTTGTAACCCGAAGGTTGTGGGTTTGAGTCTCAGGTCCGGCAGGGATTGTAGGTGGGGGGAGTGAATATCCAGCGCTCTCTCCACCCTCAATACCACGACTGAGGTGAGACCCTTGAGCAAGGTACCGAACCCCCAACTGCTCCCCGGGCGGCGCAGCATTGGCTGTGTGTGTGCACTTGGATGGGTTAAATGCAGAGCACAAATTCCAAGTATGGGACACCATACTTGGCCTCACGTCACTTCCTTTCCTTTCCTTTCCTTTCTTTACAGCTAGAATAGGCATTAGGCAGTTTCAGTGTCTCCAAGCGGTACTACAAAATAAAGCATGTTTTCAAACAACCTTGCGTCGAGCCTCCCTCAACTCAAACATCACAAACAAAGCTCTTACAGCTCTATAAATGTGAAGGCATGTCTCATGTAAAAGTAGGCTGCTTACAATAAAAAGTCCAACATATTAGAAATACTTTTAACTTGAAGTTTAGCTCACCTGTTCTCCGGAAGTTTGTATGTAGATGTAGATTTTTTTGTAGATATTTTGACAAGTCTTCAAATTTTGTCTTACACTTCTGTACGGAATCTGAATTTGTTTTTTGTTTTTTTATCACCGACTAAACAACTCTCTGGCTCAGCTTGCTACAGTAGCCCTGCCCACGAATCGCTATTGGCTGCGCGAAGGTATGCAAATAGGTTGACAGAGAGGTAGGACATCCTATCATCGCATTCAGAAAGATTACAACGATTGGACGAACATTTTATGGTCCTGAGCCTTCCACAGAAGATATATATTTATAATATTTAGACCACTTTATTTATTGATTGCTCTCAGGCTGTGAAGAGACTTTAAACCAGTAAAACGTAAAAAAATGTTTCTAGCTAAAATTGCCTACCTTTAACAAGGCCCATATTTTAATGCTAAGTGTGAATAATACTGCATTAACACATTAATCTATCTATCTATCTATCTATCCTCATAAATACAGAATCATAATGTCAGTAAATGAGAAAACTCAGTAACTGCAAGCAACATGAAACTGGATGCCAATGAATTAGGGCAGGATCTGTTTGTTCAACCAACGGCAGTGCAAAATGATACATTTCACCTTCAGCTTTCATGATGTGCCTTATTTCTGAATTAATTAGAAAACTCAGCAGTGAAACAATGTAGGGCGCAAGTTGATTGGATCCTGAAAAGTTAGACTATCATATTACTATTCCACAGCTGCATGGTCTTGGATATGTCAGCAGGAAAGAAAAGTAATTTCAGAGCCCAAACGTACTACATTTAGAAGAAATATGATCAAAACAAACATATTTTTCTTTAGAATAATGCACACTGATGAAGCATGCCCAATACAGCCTGGGACATTTATACACACACACACACACACACACACACACAAGAAAGTATTTTCATGCATGAAATCAATTTCACATCATCTTGAAAGAAATCAGAAGTTTTCAAATTTTATGACACTGTCTATTTTTCTAACATGTTCATTTGTATTATTCTCCAGATTTATTGAAGATTGCATCATGCATTCATGTTTGTAAAGCCTCATGCAAATAAAAACGAGGCTGGGGATTTTTATTTCATCACTCATAGAGAACGTGGCAAGGCTTCCGGTCTTTAATGCACTGAGAGTAACTCGGCTCCATGTACCGGAAAGATTATTCATGCGTAACAATTCAATTTATTGGGGGGGGGGTTATCCTCTCACTCGGGCCATCAGGTGAGGAGGAACAGGACCTGGTCATCTCCCCAGAAATCAATCAGTGTAAGCGAGTACAGATCCTTCTCCCCGCTCTGCCTCGCGGGCCGTCTGAACAAATCAATTTCCCCTCATTCATTCCTGTGGCCTCCTCCCGGGGCATCTGCCTGTCAGAAAATCTGCATCTTTCACCTGACAGATTACCACTGAGAAAAAAAGATGTGAGGAAATGAGGAAAAAATCTCAAGCTCTTGGTTTGGAACTGCATGTTGCCAGGGAAACCATGAGGGGACTCTCTTGATGTGAGAAGACAGAGATTGACATGTCTTTAAAAAATAAAATCGAGTATTAAAGTTTCAATTACCGTGAAATCAAAACTGGAGTTACGTCTGCTGGTTTTGATGCCACCTGCATCTACATACATGCTAGTGTACTCAAAAAATATCAACAAAAATCCCTTCAAAAATAATACCAAGTTAATTTATGATATGATTCTCATGATTTTATAAATCTTACCCTGGTACGCAGTAAACGATGGTACTGTAAAACCACAGTGCATGCTAAAATATTAAGATACTGAATTGCATATTGTAAACTATGTCTGTGTGTGTGTGTGTTCCTCTTTTCAGCTAGGCAAGTGTTTCTCAGCAGGACGCTAAAAGCAGCGGCGAGAGAAAGAGAAATAAGCAGTGGGTATTCATTACTGCCGGACTGAGTCCTCAGCGACTGATCGATCTACTAAATGAGAAAGTTCAGAAGTGAACTCTAAAAGACTTTCAGGGTGAACGATCGGATTCTTGCAAGTTTTACAGCTAAAGAAAGAGAGAGAACACACAGTTACACAACAAATATGTTCACACACATACACTACCATTCAAAAGAGGTCAGTAAGAAGTTAAAATATAAAGAAAATATACTTTTATTCAGTAAAGCTGCATTAAATTTTTTTTTTTTTTTTTAAAGTAGCAATTATTGTAATGTTGTTTGTGAACACACTGCATGTCTTTATGGGCCGTTGGCTGCTGGTGTCAGACTCAGTGTCTCTGTGGTCAGGTGAGGAGAGCTGATTCAGCATCCATCCGCCTGCAGACTCCTGACTGTCAGCACTCAGCTCGTCCCTGACCTGCTAAGAGCCTCGCTCACACCCTCACACATCAAACCTCGCTCGTTCTCGCTCTCTCTGGAGTCTAATCAATCCTGTACCATCGCTCTGCTTGAATCAGAGCAGCTCAGGAAGACTGGAGTAATGATGCAGAAAATTCAGCTTTGATCACAGCAATAAATTACATTTTAAAATACATTTACACAGAAAACAGATATTTTAAAATGAAATAATATTTACTAATATGTACACTGATTTTACTGTATTTTTGATCAAATGATGCAGTCTTGGTGAGCAAAAGAGACTTATTTAAAAAAAATGTAAAACCCTAAACTTTAGACAGACAGACAGACAGACAGACAGATAGATAGATAGATAGATAGATAGATAGATAGATAGATAGAGGTAAAATGAATGTCCTTTAATAATCAATACATCATAATAAATATATTTAATGTCTATTTTATGTATGTAAATGTTTTATGCATTTTTATGGTTTATAAAATACAAAAAAACGTATATTTATGTTGGTATATGGTGTTAAGTATGATAGTAAAGGCTATCAAGAAAACCAGCTAAACCTCAAGTTTTTCTTTCTTCCTTTCTTTCTTTCTTTCTGTTTACATGCAATTGTTTTGCCCTATAATCGGCCTCCCATATATATGTAATTGCTGTTTCCGTGTTTAACATTTTAACTTCACCGTGATCAATATTTGCAGCTTGAGTTCGTCCTCTGTCTGACCCAAGTGAATTCACTTTACATGCAGGCCATGAAAACGAGCTCCAATTATTACAGTAAATATTTGAAAGACCTTGAAGTCGCCATATGCTTCAATAAAAGTCACGGAGCAAGACTTTCAGGCATGTATTCCCGTGAAAAATAACAACAGACCTTCAGTCCACAGAACACATGCCTTCTGATAGCGTGCGTTCATCAATATGTCGAGTAATTACTCGAGTGACCTTTACTGATAAGAAACTGTGGCTCCCCAAATCTCTATCGCTCTCTGTCAGGATCTCTTTTAGTATTCCTTCTCCTCTATACATTCAATTTATCTCTGTCATTTTCTCAGTCTCCCTCTGGCTTCTCTTCCAATCACATACAAAACAAAGCAGGACTTGAGCAGATAGTCAAGGCCTGATTAGAAGAACTCTAGATAGCAACTTCACTGTGACTATAAACAACAACACTGGCCTGGAAAGTACATGATAAACACAAAGGCAAACATATGGGCTGTAAATGCACAAGGGTAAACAATGCAACAAGATCACCTGACAACAAGATACACCTAAAGACAGTTGGGTAAGGTCATTAGTTTGTGGATAGGATGTGATGCACGCACACTGCATTGAGACTTGACTTCTTACCTCCATATGCTGGAAAGGGAAGGAAGCATTTTTCAGCATTCAAACACTGGAGATCCAATGAATAAAACAAGATCTCACAAGAAATGGTGATACTTCAAAATAAAAAGCAAACTACATTTCAAAATAAAAGACATGGAACTGACACTTAAAGACATGTACAAAAAGCATTACAATTCACAACTGATTTTACTGATTTATTTTATTTTTATTTTGTTATTGTATAACCTGACCCAAACAATTAGACTGTTATTTTAATCTATATTTTGTTTAATTTATTGCTTAATTTTTTTTATGTTATTATATTTTAAGTTTTAAGTGTATTGTTATTTTTTTATATATATATTATTACATTTTTAATGAAAACATGGATATTTGTCCAGTCCAGTGAAGGCTATCGCATAAAATCGATAATGCTCAAAGGTGAAATCAAGTCACATTTTTCATGATCGATCATTGCTGTCATTTTTCTCTTTTGGTCCTTCCGCAGGCCAGCGTTTAGCTGAAGAACTATTGTAATGTTGTTTGTCTTTATGGGCCGTTGGCTGCTGGTGTCAGACTCAGTGTCTCTGTGGTCAGGTGAGGAGAGCTGATTCAGCATCCATCCGCCTGCAGACTCCTGACTGTCAGCACTCAGCTCGTCCCTGGCCTGCTGAGAGCCTCGCTCACACCCTCACACATCAAACCTCGCTCGCTCTCGCTCTCTCTGGAGTCTAATCAATCCTGTACCATCGCTCTGCTTGAATCAGAGCAGCTCAGTCTGAGAGGAACAGGAAGAGAGAACACATTTTAGACTCTCTCAAGTGTTTTTCATTTTCTCTGCCTTATTGGTACGACAAAATGGCACATTTGTTTAGCCAGTGCTGTGCACAAGTAGTGAAAGAACAGTAGTGCAGACAATATACTAGTCATTTGAAGTGGATCAAAATCTTTCATCAAAGTTGTCCTAAAACCTCAAACCAAAATGCATTATTGTCTTAGGACAACTTTGATGTTGATTTTTTTTGATCCACTTCAAATGTTGACTACAGTATATATATATATATATACTGTAGCATATGGTATAGATATAGTTTCTTTCTCTCTTTCTCTCCATTCAAAGCACTGTATCAACATTACTGTTGATGGTATGATAGTGTTGATGGCATGACTTTATTGGTATCTCTCTTTCTTGAGAATGAAAAATGATGGTTTTAGTGTTGCCTTAGCGTTTATCTTTTGCTCCAATAAAACTGAAAGCTTTATTCAATAAAAAATTACTCCTCACTGATTTACCATGCATGTTTCAAAATGTTTTTGAAGTGGTTTAATTTCATCAAAGGTCTGGAGAATAAAAATATTGTGTAATATTTAGTTTTACTGCACAGTAAGTTTCTACAATTTCATTTATTGAATTATTTGTGTTGCTAATGTTAATGCTTTTTTAATCGCATAAAATCGATAATGCTCAAAGGTGAAATCAAGTCACATTTTTCATGATCGATCATTGCTGTCATTTTTCTCTTTTGGTCCTTCCGCAGGCCAGCGTTTAGCTGAAGAACTATTGTAATGTTGTTTGTCTTTATGGGCCGTTGGCTGCTGGTGTCAGACTCAGTGTCTCTGTGGTCAGGTGAGGAGAGCTGATTCAGCATCCATCCGCCTGCAGACTCCTGACTGTCAGCACTCAGCTCGTCCCAGGCCTGCTGAGAGCCTCGCTCACATCCTCACACATCAAACCTCTCTCTCTCTCTCTCTCTGGAGTCTAATCAATCCTGTACCATC